ACTTCTCCAATGCCCACATTCAAGTCAACAGCGAAAGAACACTCCCAGTGCTTGTTAAGACGTTTGACGCAATGGGAGCAGGGTGAATTTGATGAATTGCTTCTCGAGGCTAGTACGATTTACTGAAGCTAAAGTGCCAGCAAGCTCCGAGGGCCTAAAGAAGAACTATTAGTCAAAACCTTTGCTACGCTTGTGCTTGTAGGAGAAATAACTGTTGCCAGGAAGCTATTGGATCAACGGAGTAGCAGAGGTGTACTCCCTCTATCCCAAAGCACTATAAATTAGCTGAAACGGAAACACCCAGAGGCAAGCGAAACAGATCCATCACTGTTAATAGATGGCCAACGACCATTTGTCGACCCTCTTATGTTTTAAAATGGGGGTCTAGCGGGCTTAGATGCAGACGGATGGAGGAGAATCTTGGTGTCGAAGAATTTTGGAGCTGCTGGCAATAATCTCAGGGGTGCATTAGCCAACTTTGCATAAAAGTCCTCGTTGAAAATGGCAGAACACACACAAATCTGGAAGTATATACAGTTTGCCGACTGATTCCCCTATAAAAGAACGCAGATTGACCTTTTGTTTTGGTGAGGTACTGCGGAGGATTGTTGGGAAAGCCATGCCGGTGAAGCTGGTGGAATTGAAGCTGCTGTGCATGCCATGGGCGACATCTTCAACGAAGAGTCCNGATCGAGTTTTGGAACCAAGATGTCATCGAGTTTAAAGGTCTTGCTCTAAAATTCCTCATGGTAATGCCAGCCTTACTTCTCCAATGCCCACATTCAAGTCAACAGCGAAAGAACACTCCCAGTGCTTGTTAAGACGTTTGACGCAATGGGAGCAGGGTGAATTTGATGAATTGCTTCTCGAGGCTAGTACGATTTACTGAAGCTAAAGTGCCAGCAAGCTCCGAGGGCCTAAAGAAGAACTATTAGTCAAAACCTTTGCTACGCTTGTGCTTGTAGGAGAAATAACTGTTGCCAGGAAGCTATTGGATCAACGGAGTAGCAGAGGTGTACTCCCTCTATCCCAAAGCACTATAAATTAGCTGAAACGGAAACACCCAGAGGCAAGCGAAACAGATCCATCACTGTTAATAGATGGCCAACGACCATTTGTCGACCCTCTTATGTTTTAAAATGGGGGTCTAGCGGGCTTAGATGCAGACGGATGGAGGAGAATCTTGGTGTCGAAGAATTTTGGAGCTGCTGGCAATAATCTCAGGGGTGCATTAGCCAACTTTGCATAAAAGTCCTCGTTGAAAATGGCAGAACACACACAAATCTGGAAGTATATACAGTTTGCCGACTGATTCCCCTATAAAAGAACGCAGATTGACCTTTTGTTTTGGTGAGGTACTGCGGAGGATTGTTGGGAAAGCCATGCCGGTGAAGCTGGTGGAATTGAAGCTGCTGTGCATGCCATGGGCGACATCTTCAACGAAGAGTCCACCGATGCACTGCTCCGCGTGGATGCAGACAAGACTTTTAATACGCTTAACCGACGGGTCCTTCTCCACAATATCAAGTATTTATGCCCACCGATGGCTGTTTATATCACGAACTGTTATAGTGTACCATATCGCCCATTTTTGTTCTTGGAGGACTTGGAATTCATCGTCAGAAGAGACCACACAGGGGAATCCCCTCGCAATGCCAGTATATGCCATTGGTATAACCACCCTGTTGAAGATAATCAAACCTGAAACTCCAAAGGAAATAACAATGAAACATGTAGCCTTTGGAGATGACCTGGGTGGTACAGGTGAACTGCTGGAACTGCGACGCTGGTGGGATAACATTACAGACATACGAGAAACGGAAAACGTGAAATTCAAGTTGAGAATTTCTTAAAATAGGAAATGAGAAGATAAATGCAGTCCAAATCGATTGTTATAGACAAAACTAACGACAGGCTATTAATTTTGGGGTAGAAGCGATGAACAGTAAAGCGCAATTTAAGTGTAAACTTGGTCATGTGGTACAAATTCACCTTTGCCGTTTGCCGTAAACGTGACTCTAAATCTCTCTATTGTGACGTAGGATCCCAAGTAGATATAACCCAAACCTTAAGTCGTGGCTGGTTGTAAAGCCTAAAGCAAAGGAGATAAGCACGCGGAATCTTTGAAGGAACCAGAGTTAACATCACAACAGATGGGAGAAAGTATCTGGGTGGCTACATTGGAAGTGAAAGTGGATGCGGCAAATAAGCTCAAGAATTAGTAAGTTAACGGTGTGAACAACTGAAGAAGAACAGCAAAGACAGAACCTTAAGCAGCTTATGCAGCATTTGTGAGCGGGTTCAAAAGTTAACTGACTTATTGCATCACAGCAATGCCCAACATCAAGCAACACCTGAAGCAACTGGATGCAATTGTGGACAATGTATTTATCCCGGCAATTACAGATGGCCACAAGAAAGAAAGCTGGTGCGGAAAAATCTATCTTCTCGGCCGTTTCTGATCTTGAGTTGCCAACTCCCGTGCTGCTACTAAGCATATCAACAGTTAAGACAACACAGCACCAATGAATAGTGAACAACTCAAGACCTCCCGGAGAAGGATTGCCAATACCAGAGAATAACTAAAAAACACCATCCTGTGGTAGCTCTGCGAGAAGATGAGCCCAGAGCAATTGAGGTCAAACGACCCGGCGCAAAGATAAAGGGTGCCTCGAGTTGGTTAACAACATTTCCATTAAAAACTTCGACCTTAACAAGAGGTAATTCTACGATGCGCTCAACCGTAGGTACCACTGGACACCGAAGTAACTCCCATCTACTTGTCCTTGCGAGAAGAGATTCGACATTGATCATGCAATGTATTGAAACACTGATTTGCCCATAGGAGGCATGACGAAGTGCAAGACCTGTTCGTATGCCTTCGCAAGAATGTGTGCCATGGTGATGAGCTCGAGCCACACCTTCAGACCATGAAAGAAGAAGTTTTAACCAGTACTGCAAGCTCGTTTTAGTTGTCAGTGTACGCGGTTATTGGCAACGAGGCAACGTGCAATTTCCTTGCGCAAAGAGCTAATGTTAAACCACGGCTTTCTCGAGCAACGGGAAAGAAAGAAAGAGACACTACAACCAGCGAATTATTGTAGTTGAACATGGCTCCTTCAGCTTTCTCATGCATATGGCGGAAATGCAAGAGAAGCCGAGCGATTTCCCACTGAACTAGTGAGAGGAAGCAGATTGACCGTAGCATTGTAATTCATTGGATGAGAGCAAAGCTATCTTTTAACTTATTAAAATCAGTAGTACAGTGTGTAAGAGGCTCCAGAGCAACCAATCATGAGTTGAACACTAATCCTTGCGGGGCAGAAATCGCAAATGTGATTGGAAAGATAAATAAGACACGTTTTAATATTTTTAAAACATTGCATATAACATTTTTAACCCAAGCCTAGGGCCTTAATCATTAATATTTTCAAAATAGAATTTTATCAACGAATTTTGATAACTTTTATTGGATTTTTTGGAGAAAAAAAAAACCCATATCATCACAAGACTTACAGTCGTTCTGCATGATACCTTGTCATGTCTCTAAACAGTAGCTTTACGAAAGGTCCTAACAGAAAAAGGAACTCTACTGCACGAGACAACGAGAGGAAAAATTATTAATGATAATTCTCGAGAGATTCGAAGGAGACAAAGACCATTTATAATGTAAAGAGGGCGCATCTTGTTGTCCTCTAGTCCACAACTTTCCATTCCATTCCATTCCCCCAAATCCTCCGATACCAAGCAATGTCGACTCACTCCCACGGAAAAAGGAAAAAAGAAAATTATGAGTATTTAACCTGAAAACTGAACACTTATCTCGCAAAATGCCATGTTTTTGGAGAATTAGAATTAGAATTACCACAGAGGGATATCATAAATAGAATTTAATGCACTTTGAAAAATTAGGAAAAAAGCGGCAGTGTTTAAATTTTTTTTCTTTTTCTTTTTCTCCCGTTCTTACTAATCCTCGAAAAACGTTCAAAAACTAGCAGTTTGTTACATACATTGTGCACGTCATTTTTCGGGACAACATTCAACTGAAAAAAATTCCGAATGTTCAAAATTGCGGCAAATTGTTAAGCTGGTGGAATTGTTCTAATATTGTTTTGAGAGGTCAATAAAACAATGTTTTTATTCTATGTTTTCAAAATGGTCCGTTTTGGATGAAAGCTTAGTGCTCAATAAATTCACTGAATTGCGGTTTTTTTGTCTTTAAGACTCTGTATCTTTCTTTAGCTCTAGGTAGACAATATCTCTCTGAAAGACTCAATTCGTAGGATTCTAACAGCGATAGGTATTTTGTTAAGTTCTATGCTGATTATGGATAACGATAAATCGATCGGTTAACCACTTAATCCTCAAACGCTGGTGGCTGGTGTTTTTCCATGTTGTGTCGCAGTTTTCTTCTTTTTCAAACTGTTAACAATTATTCTGATTTTATTGGAATCTTTTTATTTAAGAGTGCTATTAGATGATTTATAGATGCTGCTATAAGCCAGGCAGCTACAGTCGTTTACTGGCTTCCACTTCTTAATGATGACATACGAAACAAATGCCAATGAAGAAAATATTAACAACCGCAATTAACGACCGACTTTTTTATCTTAATTTCTGAGCAGTGACTTTTTTTATCCCCTGCAGGTGTTTTTGAAAAGCAAGGAACTCTGTGTTGCAAACTAAAAACAACACGTACAAGAAAAGAGACCCACAAAAAAGAATAGAGAGATAAAGGAGTAACAAGCCACACAGGAGACAATCCGTTTTCAGAAGAAAGGTTTGCCGAGAGCAGTTTCGTTCTTCTTCTTAGCACTGCACCAAGAACAAGATAGTGAACTTTCAAGCTCGGAAACCGTTGTCTCTAGCAGCAACATACTACATTTTTGATGTGGGAGTTTTTTTACAAGTAAATATCGTCAATTCCGGATTAAACACCTTTGTGCAGTGTACCGATTAACATCGTCATGGCATCGTCAAATGCAGCTGGGAATCCACACGAAGTGGTGAATCACACTAACGCGTCTTTGCCTAAGATTACACGCAACATTTCAAACGCAGGCGATGTCAAAGATCCATTTAACATTCTCTCTTTTAGCTTCTTGCTACTGATTATCAGCGCCACCTTATTTGGAAATATTCTGGTGATTCTTGCGTTTAAGAGGAGCGTCAAGATTCGAACGGTAACTAACTACTTTGTAGTATCGTTAGCAGTAGCGGATATCCTAGTTGCCCTTGTCTCTATGCCGATATGGGCTGCATTTCTGATGCAAGCAAATGTTCTTGAAGAAGGCCCGCTAGTAAAGATCTGGACATTTATGGATATCCTCTGTGGAGTAGCCTCCATTATGAATTTGACTGCAATAAGCATAGAGAGATATTTCTGCATAAGGTATCCTCTCAATTATCACACTACCATGACGTCACTCAAAGCAATAACTATAATAATCATAATTTGGATCTTTTCGATTTTTATGTCTTCGTTGAAGATTATTTTGTGGTTCTGGCCTCCCCCAAACTACGAACTAATGGTAGTTATAAGCTGTTTCTTTATTCCACTGGTTGTTATGTGCACGACGTACCGATATATCTTTAAGACGGCCAGTTATCAAGCGCGACAAATCGCACTTATGATCAACGGCAACGTCAAGAACTTCCTTCTGGCGTCCGAGATGCGCGCCGCCAAAACTCTAGCTGTTGTGATGGGTGCGTTTGTTATTAGCTGGGGGCCTTTCTTCATTTTAAATATCTTGTTTGCATACTGCCTTGATTGTGTCACTACTGATTCCGTCGTAGTGGCGAAATGGATGCACTACACAAACTCTCTTTTTAATCCCATTGTCTACGCGTGCATGAACAAGGAGTTTCGAAAGGCTTTCTGCATCATCTTGTTTGGGCGAAAGCGCTGTTGTCGCATGAGAAAAAGGGGAGCTGAAAGTTCTACGGATCAGACTGAACTAAGTCCGGGAAATCACCATGTTTGACATGGGTGTAACGCTTGTTATTAAATGGAATGACAGGGTCTTGTTATCACTGCCAACTGGACGAAACAGGCTGACTAATCAATTATGTCAAGTTGACTGCAATACGAATAATAACAAAGTCGAAGGACAAGTGCAGTAGGTTATATTAAAGAGCGCATGAAATGTCATTAGAACGTGAACGTGATTTGCTTGAGTGGCTACAGCACTTTGTACGAGTTCTGACAAAAAATCAGATTCATGACTCAAATGATGAACTGGTTATCAATTGAGATTTTTGGCCATGGGTAACTGTCCACCTACCCCTTCCCTAAGTCACAATGTTGCCCTAAGTGAGAAGAAAGTGTTAATGTTGACTTAGGTGAGGGGTAGATGGTCGGTTACCCACACTAGGACCTCAATTGATCGAATGAACTTTGTCTACAACTGCACCAGCAACACTCTAATAATGCACCAAAAACAATACAAATGCACCCAGTGCGGACGTCGGAGATATATAATGTGAAAACAAAATTTACGAAAAAAAAAAAACAACAGTTTAAAAGCATGCCTTAATTATGAGGGCCCCAAATGAATGAGCCTGAAACTCGATAACAATGCGCATGCCTCTGCGATGCGGGCTCAGTGACATATTCTGCGCGCTCAATATTTTGATATCAACTCTTTTTCCAGTTTTTAATACGTGAATTGAGTCGTCAAGTTGTAAGGTACTTGTTCCTAATTCTCCAAAAACGTGTGACCAATGGGTAAGCACTCGATCGAAAACATCGGTTTTTTTTCCTTACTTTGATTTTGCGTTGAAAATCATTATTTTTAAGTATTTCCGACTTAGTTGTAACCGAAGATTGTGCACATATGGAAAACCAGGTCAATTAAGGACTTAAGGGCTCTTCACATAGGTTCACAACTCTTTAAAGGGACTGCTTCAAGGCGATTTAGTCCATTTCGTTTGGTCATACCAAATGACATGCTATAAAACTTTACGCCGGCAATTATAGCTTTACAAAAGAGTATTTCTAAAAAATAAAATACTACTTACGATACCTTAGTTAATGACTTAAACTCACATCAAGTTACAAATATCATAGATGAACTTTGAAAGCCTTTTGAGATGAACAGTTTTCAACCAAAATTGAAACAAGTCAAATTTTCTTCAGAGTTCCCCAATTCAGTGTTTCCTATTGCATTCCATATATGTGTTATTGGAATTTTTCTTCACTGTTTTAACTGGTCAGTGGGAGGTTTTCCTCTATTTGTTGGCCAGTTCCTAGTAGTTCAGTTTAGGCACGCTTTCAGATTACACAGTTCTTTGATCTAAAGCTACAATTGTTAGATCCCAGAAAAAGAGGAAGGCGAAGAAGCATCTTAAATGAAAGAAATATTTTAAACATGAAGACTAAGATTAAGTGCAAAATTAAAAACAAGAAATGGCTTCGAAATTGTTCCTGTGGAACTGTTCGTTATTTCAATTACCTTTATCGCTTTTGAATTATTTTGGTAGAAAAAAATTAAAGCTTAAACCTAAACCACATTCAGTATGAACTCTAGACACTAACTTACTTTTACAGTTACTTTTTTATATTTTCGCCATAATTTTGTAAAAATCTTTAGTGAATAGTCGCCTTAGGTAAGATGATGTCAACATCTCTACTCTTTAATCATACTTTTAGCCTTTTTACGCAGAAAATATTTAAATACATATATATAGACACTCTTACTTAATTCATTCTTTTTCAATCAATATGTTCTCATTTGAAGTTCTCCTTTTCATGTAGACTAGTTTCCACCTTGGTCTACAACGGCTTAGATGTATTCGCCAAGACAGATAGCATTAATGACCTTTTTTGTATATAGAATAATTGCAAAAAACGTTCTACCCTGAATTGCTTCAGGGGCACCCAACGCCAGTTTCCGGAAAATATCTGTTCGGAAGACGATTTGAGATCTAGAATTTTCGGAAAATTTGCTTTAAAATGTCTTGCTTGCCTGCCTCTCATAGGATTTTCGAACATCTAAAAACTAGTAATTGCCCATTTTTAACGGATTTTTACCCTAGAAAGGTCACCTAGAATTTTCTGAAGCCTTTTTTTCTGGCTGAAATTTTCGAAAAGAAAAGTTTTGATCCTTATAATTTTCGGATCACTGTGACTTTCAGTTAGGAAATCCGAACAGATGAAAAATTTTTAGGGGATAAAAATATGCCTATATCTACCGTTTAAATTATACTAAAATACGTTTAACAATGCTATGTTTAAATGATTTGAACTATATTCTCGTTGGGTGCCCCTGTTGCTTAAGAAGCCTCAATTGAAGCTGCGAAGGTTCTGTATTGTTTGTGAGATAACTAATTGAAAATAAATTGATTTCGTAAAACTCAGCGGAACCTTTTAACTCATTTATGACACTGTTTCATTGGGTTAGAAAATGCGTTGCAAGTAATTGCTTAGAGTAATTGTTCTGTCTCTTCCTGCACAGTTCCAATTTTGACTACAAACGTTATGGCCTATTGGTTGGCAAAAGGCGGTAAACGATGAATCCTCAAAGACAAGGCAGCCATTTTGAGACACCATGTTGAATTTGCAAAATGGCGTCCGCAATCGTATTATATATGCGCGGCCGACGCACATCCATTATTAGCTTGCTCGCTCTACTACGCTTAGCAGCTATTCTTGACGTTTCTATGTCTCATCTTCTTCTTGCATAGTGTTAATATATATTATTACACTTTTCCTGAGAGGGTATGACTATTTGCAACTCAGAAACTGTTTGAGTTTGAGTTCTTCTTATATCCCTATTTTCTCTAGTCTGTTTGTCGTTTAATCGGCTGAGAACAACTGCAGTATTATGTCCTGCTAACTGACATGTTTAGAAAACACTTTTTCTTTTTAAAAATCTCATCAGTGATACAAATTGACAAGTCTGGCAAATAATAAACAATCGAGAGAGAGAAAACAAATACATGTACAATATTGACAACCGACAATTGATCGCGACTTACGCCACACGTACACGAAAGAGGGAAAACCGGCAGGTCAGCAAGAAACATTACGTTCTAAATTTGTATCAACGGGTGTTTCAAATTAGAGTAGAACACACGAAGAAGCCTTCTACAATTTTCTTACAAAAAAACTCAATTATGCTTAAGTTAATGTGTTTAATAATTACTTTCTTCTTCAAAATGTTACTAAAGAAATTAACAGGTCTGCATCTCTTCCTTTCTCCCACACAGTAGATTTTTTTTTTCAGCTTTTAACTGAAGTAGAATTAACAAAAAGAAAATACCCTCGATTTGCCCCTTTTTATATTTTTTCTCAGAAAATAAGCCATATTTTCAAGACTTAACTATCGTTTTCCGCATAAACGTGAGGAACGATTCTTCTATCAATCAAACGAAACTTCTTTCATATCAGTTTTGAGATCACTATGAAAAGATAAAGCCTGGAGATGGTTTCCATGACAATAGAACGCACTCCTTAATTCTTATTGGATGCCTTCATAAGGAATAAGTTTCCTTTTTCATTTATCAAATTATAGACTTCGTAAGTTCTGTTTAGGTGTCAACACCGTAGGCTGTTTCACGAACGCGATTTTATGTGACAGATGTTGAATTAAGGTAAGGAACTTTACTCTTTCAAAGGCAAAATGAATTCGATAACACAGAGGTGAAACTGCCGGCAAAGCAGCATTTAGCTGTTTATTCGTATGGTGAAAATATCTTCCCACCGTATTTCACTATTTTATCTTTCTTATTTATTTTATCTTCACAAATATTATTTGGTGTGGTTAATTTATATGTCGGGTGCATCTATCAAGACCCCTTTCACAAACTTTACTTGGCAACTTTTTCAGGCGCTATTCTAGTTAAACGTGTCAAATTTCTAACTGGTTACACGGTGTCAGTCAGTCACAAATTCACCATATATGAGTGAGCCTCTGGGAACACTGAAGCATATATTTTATTCAATTATTTTGACTCTTTAACCATAAATCGCTCCCTTTAAATTCATTTTCTCTAGAGTAAAATAAAATTCAGAAGGAAGAGTTTCTTCCTCATCCTCAGACATCTGTTTTACGTGAGGTTGTCGTCATTTACATCTCTTTGAAAGCTAACAGCTCACAGATTCTGAAGGTTGAAACGCGTCGAAAAATGAGCACACAAGTGAAATAACTTTTTTGTGACATACAAGCGAATTGTTCAAGCTAATAAGTTTCAGTGTTTGCCTACAAATTAACCACTTTAAAGTGAACGTACAGTATCAGCTAACTAAAGGTTATCGCAATCTCCGAGGACAGAATTTTAACAAAAGCAAAAAGCATATCTCTTTTGTTCGTTGTGAACATGAACGAAGAAAAATGTAAGGAAAAGTTCTTCCGAAACGCTTTCAAGGGGCTAATTATTGATATTTAAAAACTGAAAGACATTCCGCACTTTAATCTCTCGGCTTTCGACTCAAGCGAGCTGAGCAGTATTTAACAACTGACCTTCAATATTCAATGCTTCCTTATCCTTTTTAAGCTATTTGCAACTCTGAGGAATCGTTATTTATGATAACAAGGTTCTAAAAGATCAACTTCTGACAAAACGGATGGAGTATATTTTGCTTTATTGCCACTTTTCACACAAAAAGAGTATTGTTTTGCTCGCCTCGAGGAAAATTGAAACACACGAATTCATAATTCTGAGGAGTAGCTGATGTGCATTTGACTGCGATAAACGTTTCATTTTAATCTCTTTCTGGTTTTAGATTAACGAGACTTCTATTTCTCAACAAATATTATTATTTATTTTCTATAATGACCGAGCCAGAAATGCATTTTACATTTACGATATTTCCTCTTTTCACAGTTGTCTTTCAACAATAATGAAAACGCTTTCAGTTAATGAAAAGCTTTTGATGTCATCATTGAAAAGTAAAACAAAAAATATGGTACCAAATTAGGCAACTGAAGCAAATAGCAGAATCGATCTCTTTTTTTATCAATGGATTGTTATTTTTTCAAAACCTCCGGATCAGTTTCCGTTTCGTTTTTGCTTATCTAAAATCCCTTCATTTTTTTTTTCTTTTTTTAATTCAGAAAAATATAGTAATATTCATTGTGAGCAATAAGAATAAAATTAAATTAATCGCCTTTTGCGATATCTTACTTTTGATTTATGGTTTCATAAGAACAGCAACGTGACAAGTTGTATTTTTGGCCATTTCTAAATCATTTAAACACTGTGATTACATTTAGTGCTGTATCTTTATAATTTCCTTAAGGCTTCTGAACCGTTTCTTATACAGAATTTTCTTGGAAAGATTTCAGTTTGAACCAATTCACTGATTTGCAGAAGACAGTCGTTTTTTAAATGAACCTTAAAGTCAGTCTGGAAAATTTTAAAAGGATGAAACAAACAGTAAAAAGGATGTTTAAAAAGCCAAACAAAACATTTTGTTCTTAACGCTTATTTTTCTGTTCATAATTTTAAAAGGTGTTATCATTGGCTTAAATTAACATGAATTCCAACCTCTATCTATATTATATCAGTTGGAGCTCTCTTTTTGACCGTAATTGTGCTTTAAAACATTTTGGCATCTCAAGACTTCGAGCGGAGTCTAGCGTAATCTTTGTTCATGACATTTGTTCCTGTTTTACAACCGTCATTAAAAGTATTGCCTTTTAGTGCTATTCGCTCCAGGTATGGGTAGATACCTCTCTCTGCAAAAACAACTTTTAACTTTTCCATTATATGGGGAAAGATATATTTTCACAAAACAGTATTTCAGTAAATTTTTCTCCAAATTTTCTAACATCTCTATCACACGCGTCCTGTTGTGCAGGCCATCGAAATTATTCAATACACTAAAAGGCTGCACTGTCATTTAATTTTCGGTCTTTTAAGTAGAAAAAATAAGAAATTTTTACCACTAAAAAAAATGAACTTGAAAGTTGGAGGTTTATAGGGTGGTCTCTTGTGACCGTCACTCGGTTCACTTTGCGTGCAAAACGACGAAAGGCCTCCGGCAAACTATCACTGTCAAATTTCCTGCACTTAATCTTACACTGATGAAAAAAGGATAATCAAGATTTCCATTTGTGAACTGACCCGTATTAAGGATATGTCGATGATATAAGTTTTTGGTGGTTCACAATTTTGCAAACAAGGGAATCTTAGAAACAAACATGTAAATGAAACATTTAATAAAAAGTGATAAATAGAATGAAGACCGTTTGAGATGACTTTTGTTGTATTTTTATTTGAAGTTTAGTGAATGCCGTGGTCGTCCCTAGAGACATCTGCATGAAGGTGACCAGAAAAAAATTTTTAAGGAATTATTGCCTCTTTCGCTTTGTTTATGATTTAAGATTAGCAGGTTCTTCGATTTTAACTAGCTAACAAGTGATTTTATACAACAAGAGTGTCTCTACCCTGCCTATAGCATGTGTAAAAACTCGATCAATGGCACGAAAAATATGTTTACTCGCCTCAACGTGGTTATTTGCAAATTAGGCTAAAAAGTTGCCATTCGCTCCTGTTTGTTATGTTAGTCGTTTATCCTCGTATTTCTTGTTGACTGCCTTCAAGAGGCAAGTAAATAGGGACCTTTAAATTCTAATGGCCTGTTTACAAGGAGAGAGGGTTTCCCTTGTGCTGGGGTTACCCTAGCAAGCGGGTTAAAGTTAGCTCTGGTTTACAAGCAAATTTCACAAGTAGGGTTACCCTAGCGCTAGAGTAACCTTACCTGCCTTGTAAACACGTCGTGTAAAAGAAAGAAGAAATGTGCGATTTCTAGGGTAACCCTAGCACCAGGGATACCCTCCCTCCTTGTAACGAGGGCCTAAGACGAGAGAGTACGATATTATCTCAGTACGAAGTAGTGCCTGCGAGAGAACAAGCGTCATTTTGGCGGGAAAACATGATAGCCGTCGTCTTTCTACCACGAGTTTCAGCGAGAATGTCGCAGTGACGGAAATGAGTTATCAAATGTTAGAAGTTTTATCAGTAACCCCCTTCAATAAAAATATGAGTGCCAACTTTTATCGTAAAAAAAAGATACAATGAAGCTTTTTGCGGTATCCATTTCTTGCATGTCCTCGTAGCCGCCCCTGTCCTTGAATCTTAAGATCTCTAATAAATACCAGCTGAATACCAGCTGGGGACAATCTTAGACTATAGTAATCCTTAGAGATTAGAGGATAACATAATCACGCAACAAAAAAAAGGAACAAGAGTCTCTGGTGCTCAGAAAACTATAAGACCCCAACAAAGTATCAAATTCACAGCCCTAACGGCAAACTCGTGCTCCTGCACAACCCGCTCACTCTAAGGCGAATTTCACTCTAAACGCCATGATACGTTGTATTTATTTTTCATGTTCCGTGACATATTAAGTCAATTATTGATGTGGGCGGAATCTTCCTTTGAGAGAGCTCTGTTTGCCGGGAAAATGCATTATAGGTTGATTTGGCCACAGGCAAGGCCCAACATATAAAGTTCTTTAGTGAACTGTACACGCTCCGACTCTGAGCGCTATGCGTTGTGTATCCTCCAGAATAATTTTATGGGCATCACTGGAACTCGAAGAGATAATGATAAGATATTTCCGCCAGAATTCAAAGAATACATGCACAATGTAGAGTGGTATCTATATTCTCTATAGCCCATGTTAAACCACTCTCATCTCTTTAAAACAAAGGTAAGTGCAAAATCTTAAGCTTGAAAATAGTTTCCCATTCTCATTCAGACGCAACTCATTTTCATATGAAAGGTTTTGCCTCATTCTGAAAGTGGGGGTTTTTGAAACCCAAAACGGACAGGTCAGTATAGTGTATTTTCAAGAGACATATGCATTCAAGATATGCCTCCTTTTCTGATTGGTTTACGACGCTTGGCTAATTCCTTTTAGTAAAATCCAACTAGTGGTCTATCATCAATGCTGCGTTCTGATTGGTTGAGCTACTACTAGGCTACATGTTATAGCCCACTAGTAGCGCAAAGCGCCGGCTTTTTGGCGGCAAAAAAAGATTAAAGTCTAGCTTTAACTAGCTAAAGTTGTTTTGTCTCGATATTTTTTTAACCAACTAGTTGAATTTTGCTAAAACAATTATTCCTCTCGCCCTCATGACCTCTGAGTCAATAGCCCATTCGGCCTTCGGGACTCAGAGCCTCTTCGGGCTCGAGGAATAATTGTTAAATAGCCCTAGCGTTGACTAAATAAGGAAGAAGTTTACAACGCTAATGATGCCAATTGTAGACAGAAAAAGGGACAGCAGAAGACGCGGTAGTTCAGCTCTTTTGTTAAAGACGGAGAAAATGACGGAAGAAGAAGTAATAGTCAAACTACTAAAACGTAGCAAGGAACGCAAAAATACCAGCTCGACGATCATCGACGAATTACAACTGCTTCTCATTAAACATCTCTTTCTGCCCTAGATTTGCCCAGCGGCAGGCAAATTAAGACAGGAACTTAAAATCGATCGAGGTAAGCATGTTTTGAAGTTAAACATATTTGAACGAGAGATAACACAATTATTTAATCTGGCTTTCGTATGATATGAAGAATCAGGCAGACCTGGGAGCGAGGCAGATAAGCCGTGCCAGATAATACCCTCGTTCTCGATCTGTCCAATTCTTCATATCATACTAGAATCGAATCCAATAATTGCTGATTAGCCTAAATACTCCAACAATATTAAGATATACAAAGCGAAATAAATTTGTCTTTTTTCTATAAAAGCAGTTTTATTAACACAAAAAGTTAAAATTGTAGGTTTAAAGGTTTTCGGTATTGTTTGAAATAAAAAAATTTACGACATTCAAGAACATCGAGAGACCTCATTTTTCCTCAGTAAAACAATTTTGAAAATCATTTCATTTCCCGAAGTGAGATAAGGGTGTTAGAACACTTCGTTGTGTCTTCTTTTCTGCGAGGTGTTTAAAATTTCCTCTTAGAGAATAAAATCTGTAGTTTATAAAAAATTTCCACTCACTGAAAACATTTTACTGCCATGGTTTTTAAGGCAGTTCGAAGAATGTACATGATTCCGTGATATGTCCGTTCCAACATGACTTCTGTGTGTTCACAGTTGGATTTTCAAGGAGTTATAATAACTCCGCTAGAGGGGTTAATTTAACTCCTTACAGATTAACTCCTTATAAATTTTTTCAAAATTCTATCTGTGAAGTATGTAACAGATAGCTGAGTGGAGTGATTCCTGCAAAAACCAAATTGAAACTTGTTAAGTAAATATTTCTTTTCCAAATAGCTTTGCAGCTGTTGACAAACTTGATTACTTTTTTCTCTAAAAACTTTCTTTCTTCATAAACGAGTTAACTGTTGATGAATAGGCTTGAGGGCTATCAACACAAAACGGCGGGGAAATTGGCGCGAAACGAATGAGCGGCGATGGAATAACTTCAGTTCATACGTTACATGGCTTCTGGTTGGACAAACAATTTCTCCACCGTGGGTCATGATTGACAAAAAACTTATTGGCCACGTGCAAGTATTTAAATGACCAAATTCAGCACTGAATAACATAATAGGGACTTGAAGCAAATAGTTACGGCGACCTCTACAGTGGCGGTCGTGGATGCGCAGTCCTGGAGAAAGTACGTCACCGTAGTCCGCCAAAATTTCAAGTAAGCGGCGTCCGAACAGTGACTAGGGTTCAGTGACGGAGGCTCACTTGCTATTGTTGTTAGTAAGTCGTAATGACCTCCTTTAGAGAAGCAAGGGATGTCAATTTTCTCTCTTATGATCAAGGATTAATCAGTGACGATAAGTTTTTGTTGCTATATGATTCGTACAAGCCCCAAAATCTAGATTTTCCGTGCGACTTGTACACGGCATCTGACCTCGGTTGAGGATAAGAAATTTTAGATTGAGAAAACGCAGGAAAACACGTAATTACCGGAAAACCAGAAGCGTCCAATACTTTCTTGATAAAGTAAAAAACAATCTGTGATAGGATTTAAACCTGTGATTGAAAAAAATAGGAGAAAACTAGACTTTTATACTCACGCAGTAGCGACTACGCCACAAGACAGGTCTTCACCTTGCAGGATTTGGCGCTTGGGCGAAAGGTCACTTCAAGGCATTCGCACTGCGTCATTTTTGGGCTTTTACTTCCGGCCGCCGTAGTAGAGGTCGCCGAGGCGATGTTCTTAAAGTCCCTAACACCACCTCCGCGGTATCGCCAGTACCTTGCGCATGCGCTCAGCCATATGGCCTTAGGCGACTTAGGCGAAAGGTCTTACTTGCGATTGCTGAAACAGCCGTTTTATGAGGCGAGTTCACCTGCTCCACCTTACACAGGCTTGGAGGCGCAAACATATGGAGATGGGATCAGCTATAGAAATCAGCTAGTGTTCTGCCCAAAAAACTGGTAACAAGAAGACTGGTACTGGCCATGCCGCGGAGTTGGTAATGTGTGCTAAATTGCTGGATTTGGTCTTGTTTGAAAAATTCACATGTCTTTCTACTTGATAAAACAAACCACTTGATTGGGCTTTCAAGAACCAAATTTCTCGAGGCGGTTTTTTTCCGAGGCATTCCCTCTCAGAACTATTCATTAAATCTTTTTGCCCCTAATAGATTCTCATTAAAAATTTCAAATTGTTTTTTTCAAAATTCCGCTTTAAATAAATGGTACCAGGTCGAAGCCCGTCCGAAGACTTTTCATTTTTGGAATAGAAGCACTAGAGGATTTCTTCCATAGATTAAAATGTTACCACTAGGTTGTTCAGAATTAGAGCAAGGACAAATTGACTAAGGACGATGGCTGTTTTCGCAAGGACGTACATTGGGCACGCGTTGGAGAGGCGTTGAAAAATTTCGAAATTCATTGAAAGACACCTTGGTGTCAATGCACTACCAGCCGGAGGTTCAAGATTTTATTTGTGGATTGAATTAAATATGGCACGTCAGACTAAGATACATCTTAAACCAAGTCATGCTATTACCTTGTAGTATATAACACGACAGGGCTTTCCACGCGACGAAGATTTAGCACGATTTTAGAAACGGGCCAAGTTTACCTTCCCAAACTTCTGAGTAAATTACGTTGCGAAAAAAAACCGTGATCCTGAAAAAAGTTATTGTAGTCGCACTAAAAGATTTTGTCAAAAAGCTGAAAATTAAGGAAATAAATTTGAAGAATTTTAAAGGATTTATAAGCTTTGTTGAAGATAGTTCTTTGAAAAGTTCGACGATTATTTTTCCATTTAGTCTTTCGCCGGGTCATAAGACCACAAGATCAATTGCACAATTTGTCAAAAATAGCCTGCCATTTTCTTTCTCTTAATATTTTCGCCACTTCAGTACTTTTACCGAAAATGGCGTCCTCTATCATTATGAATCCCTCATAAGCACTCAGTGCAATAAAGCGAGTATTATAAGTAGGAAAAAGCTTTTCAGCTGGAGCTTTCATTGGAGTAGTTAGACTCGAGGATTTTATCAAGGCATTCAAAGCTAAGGATGGAAAAGAGAATTTCAAAAGAAATTTTTAAGATGAAAGGGTTCCTTAATTTTCCATTTGGCTTAGCGGCCCTTTAAACTCTTCACACTTTTATGTTTATTTCTCAATCATTGCCCGCCATCGATATTTTCATTTTCTGCCACGCGGCCCTCTTATTAAAATGAAAAATGAGCTCTGTCGTCCTTCACGAATTCAAGTATCGTTAGGCGTCAAATGTCAATGCCGAACGGCCCTATTTATTTTTTGCCACTAGTTACTCTTCCGTGTATGTCAAATGTCATTAATATATTTTTCCAGAAGAATGACAACTTGAGAGCAAAATGCATTTCACTAAAAGTTTCCGGATAACTGCTGTACTACATAAGACTTGACAAACAGACTGAAAATCAAATAACATTTAACAACGTGGCGATACCTTGGTGATTGAAGACTTGATAATTTGATTAAGGGTATAAACTACTGCGTTTAGCATTAATTTGCGTTACTATTTGTTAACAATAAGCCTGCGGTAAAGTACTGTATATTTTTTTCTGTCTTCGTCCTCCGTATTTGCACGAAAGCTTCCTAATACATATCAACGATCAATCATTTGCGATGGCGTCCTCATAAATGCCATAAAACAGCGATCTGATTGGTTGAGGTCAGCTTCATATTATGACATAATTTGCAATTAAAGATTTCTACACTTTTGCTGTTAAATCTTGCACAATTCATATTGAAACAACTTAAAAGGTTTCTTTCATGCACGACGGCAGAAAGATAAAATGTTTTAAATTTGTCCATCAGTTTATACTGAGAAATTTTTTTACAGCTGTCGAATTTTTCAAAGAACAGCAAAGAGCTCATGGTGACCCCAGATTATATGGGGATCCAACAGAAAGCTGTAACGACAAATGTAAGTATATAAACTAATGAAGCTGCAAAAAGGTAGGTTTAGCTTTCTAAATACATTTTTCCATAATACTTTGATTCTCATGTAGTTTCTCTCTATAAATAGGCTAAGAGGGCAGAAGGTCTAACCGAAATTTGATTCAAATGGAACGGCTTTTAGGCATTGAGAACTAGACTCAGGACGACAACGACGCTGCTAACTATCGGAGACAAGTTCTTAAGATAACACATCGCTTCGACAAAATTGAGTAGTATAGGCAATGAAGGCAAAAAATGACTGAGCATTCCGTGACTTAAAGTTAAACATTTCCCGTTTAAAAATGTAAAAGATAAAGAAAATGAAACGAGGTTATTTTAGTGAAAATTTTAAGTGAAATCCGTTTTGCCGTCATTAGGATTTGGAAAATATTGTTTTACTGGTATGTGTAAGGCAGGCTTGTATTTTACTATCACAGACAGTTATAGTTTCACCATTTATTTTTAATATTTCTAGTCTTACTCAAATCTTATTATTAATAGAATCTCATGCAATAATTCAATAGAAGAGCTAAAGAGCTAAAACGAAGTTAAAGGAAGACTTATATGAGGACTCTCTCGCAAATAGGTCAATAAAAATTGAACAAAGATAAGATTAGAATCTACCACAAAAAATAGAACAAAATATCCAATACACTTTCATTAATACAGTATGAATGGATTAGAAGATCCACTGACGACAAACCTAAGTTTTTGTGAGTTTGTTTGTTTTAGCAGTTTTCTCTTTAAGAAAGCTTTCCTCGATAGACAAGCAATGACAGTTTCATCCCTATTTATTTTATAAACAATTATGGTCAAATTTTTGAGCCAAGGCAGAAATAAACCGCAAAATCAATCTACATCACTTCTGGTACAATCCAATTGTAAATTTCGAATGTAATAAATGTCATAAATGTAATTTAATTCCTAGTTTATTCCTCCTTTGTCTTATTCATCGGGATTTTTTGCAATTTATAGAATCGGCCAGAACCTAACGGCACTTAAAGCACCAGATTTGCGATTTCTTTGTCATAATGCTGGATACATTCCTGGTCAAATATTAAAATGTTCCTTCGCGAGAACTAAAAGGAACATTTCAAGCAAAATACTCAGGGGAGGTCAAACCCAAGGTAGAAAAGGTAAAAAATTCGGAACATTGGGTAGCAACAGTAAGCGGCTTTTCTAGCTGTGAGACCTAAGCAACAAGAAGAGACTAGACCGCCTCTCGCAAAAGGATCTGGAGAGGATGAACTAAACGAATAATCGATCAATTCGGTCGGACTTAAAGTGTCAAGCCACCGTAATTCGTTGATTCTATTCAATGTTTAATACCTTTGCAGGCATAGAAAGCCTGGGAATGTATTGGCAAAGGACACAATTTATTTTATTGAGAAATTCACGGCCCTGTAAGGAAGAAACATTGGCAACCTTCAGGATCATACATCGCGCTTTTAAACAAATTTAGAGAAACTTGAAAGACATTAGGCAAACGTTGTTAGGTTTGCACGGATTCAAGCCCTTTTTTCAACCTTTTCCTATTTTTAGTCAATCCTTCGTGATTTGCCCAGAGTGAAATCCACCGTTGTGAAAAACCTAGTCCTACGAAGCGGTTATAACGCGGGNAAGCCTGGGAATGTATTGGCAAAGGACACAATTTATTTTATTGAGAAATTCACGGCCCTGTAAGGAAGAAACATTGGCAACCTTCAGGATCATACATCGCGCTTTTAAACAAATTTAGAGAAACTTGAAAGGCATTAGGCAAACGTTGTTAGGTTTGCACGGATTCAAGCCCTTTTTTCAACCTTTTCCTATTTTTAGTCAATCCTTCGTGATTTGCCCAGAGTGAAATCCACCGTTGTGAAAAACCTAGTCCTACGAAGCGGTTATAACGCGGGGTCTCTTGTAATATTTCTTAAGCATCTCATTGTAACTGCAAAATTAAAGTTTATCAACCTTTCTCTCAGTTTAAGATGGCGAGCTCAACACCAGAGACACCAAGCAACGGCAACGTCGTTGAGGAAAAATTTGACGAGCAAGTCATTCTAATTTCCACGACGTTTCTCGTTATCATCATCCTCATGGCTTTGTTTGGAAATGTTTTGGTTGTCATTGCCTTTGCTGTTTTCCAAAAACTCCGCAGCATGACTAATTATTTTATAGTCTCTCTTGCTGTGGCGGACATTCTTGTAGCAGCGGTGTCTATGCCAGTCTGGGCTGCATATCTCCTCACGGGACCTGCGTGGATGTTTGATTTGTGGCTTCAACAGGTTCTGAAGAGTTTCACCTTTTTAATCTTGTTTTCTAGGATTTGAATTTTCCTGACAATTTTTAATCCTAGGCCTAAACCATTAAGATGAGCAAGTAGCAAGTACACGGGGACAATACTGATCAGGCACTGATCTAAGAAAAAACATGACTGTCTTCGATTGAACGCAGGCGGTAGACGCACTTGTCGCACCATGTAAGGTTTTGCAAGACAGTCTTGAATTCTGAATTTCACGCGGTGGGTTTCCGGATTCCGGGTAATGGATCTGGATTCACTGTCAGTGGAACATGGATTCCGAATTCCAAACGTTAACCGGATTTCGGATTCCTTGAGCTAAATTCCGGATTCTATAAGTAAAAATTCCCCGGATGCCGAAATGCGGATCGGATTACCTTACATGGAGCGATGCTACAATCTTTTGCTTTGTCCCCGAACACTCAATGAAAATTTTGACTCTTGAAAGTCCGCTCCCCTTTAGAGAATCTGTTTTAAGAAATTTTTCAAAATTCAATCGGTAGAAAATTGAGTGAAAACAGATGAACCATACAGAGGTCAATATACTAAGATTTTGTGCTTTCTTGACCAGGTTTGGAGTTGTGTTGACATCCTCTGTGGAGTGGCTTCCATCCTTCATCTCAGCTTAATTAGCATCGAACGCTACATCTGCATTTCTTCGCCACTCACCTACCACGAGAAAATGTCGACCACAAAGGTACTGGTAGCCATACTGATTATATGGTTGTTCTCAATCTTCATGGCTGCCCTCAACTTAATCATCTGGTCTGTACCTCCCCCAGTCTACGAGATAATCGTAAGTGTCTTGTGCTTTTTCATTCCCTTGGTGGTCATGCTTGTGTGCTACATGAAGATATACAAAGCCGCCCGTCATCAGATAAAGAAGATGATTCTCACGGTTCAAGGAAGCCCTAAGAAATTTCTTCTGTCCAAGGAACTCAAGGCAGCAAAAACAGTAGCTGCTGTTATTGGTGCTTTTGTCATCTGCTGGGGGCCTTTCTTTGTTCTAAATCTCATCTTCGGTCTCTGTAAAAGCTGCTCACCGCTCCCCGAAGAGTCAGTTCTTGCGGCCAAATGGTTGCATTACGTCAACAGCGTACTCAACCCAATCATCTACGCTTGCATGAACAAAGACTTTCGCGCCGCATTCAAGAAGCTTCTTGCTTTTATCTGCTTTTTCCTTCCGGGGGTCCAGCGGCTGGACATGACACTAGAAAGGTCGTTTTATAGCGAGAGGAACTCTGTTCGATCAGCTAGGGGAAGCTCTTTCAAGGAAGTGAATTGTCGAAAGGAAAGCAGCTCACTGCACTCAAATGTTTCTTACAAAGATATAAATGGATACCAGTCATGGGAAAAGCCATGTTTTGTATGAGCAATGGCATTTTCTTTTTTGCACAC